ACTTTTATATAAATAACTTTTATAAGTCATATTCACTGAAACTTTCACTTTATCCCGACAGAAGAACGTGAGACAGATAATCTGTGAAAGAATCAGCTTCCTCCGAAAGATATCTGCAAGAATCCACCGGGCCCGAACCAAAACAACCAATCAGAGACCAGAACGATGTAAAGACGGTTTGGGTTGGAGGCTTGAAGACAGTTTTATATTGAGTCTCATTCCCAGTATCCATGTTTGACAATCTGGGAATGAAACTGTCTTTCTCTGCTCTGATTGGTCGTTTTGGTTCGGGCCCGGTGGATTCTTGCAGATGAAGTTAGGAGCTCGAAGAGGAGCCAGAGGAAGCTGATTCTTTCACACATTATCTGTCTCATCTTCTACTCTCAGGATAAAGTGAAAGTTTCAGTGAATATGACAGAAAGTTATTTTTATAAACGTTACCTGCTGCAGCTTTAATGTTCTGTGTTAAACCTGATTCTGTGACCTGATCTGGACTTTAACTGACATTTTAAACACTGTAAAACAAGTTTCTCTCACATGTTCTGTTGTCGAAGTGGAAGAAATAACCCTGAAAAAGCTTGTAAAGGAAAATGTTTGAGTGTCACTGATGTTACAAACCTGTTAAATCAATTCTTTCTTGCTTTATTATCGTGGTTTCTTCAGGCGGTGGCAGATCTGGGTTGGTCCCAGCCCACTCTGATCCAGGAGAAAGCCATCCCTTTGGCTCTGGAGGGGAAAGACCTTCTGGCTCGAGCTCGGACCGGATCCGGAAAGACGGCTGCTTATGCCGTACCGGTCATACAGCGCATCCTGGCCTCCAAACAGGTGGAGAAACACAGGAATTACTGTTAGAAAAAGTGAATTTAATCTTCAAATCAAACCTGTTTGATGTTTTTACTCCAGAAATCCGTCTGATTAATACCTGTAGATGTTTTATCTAACTCTGGAGAAGGTTTTGTCCTCTTTTCTGTTCTTACATACGGTGTTAAAGACACGTGTTGGATCAGTCAGATTGAGCTGTTCTTTCTCTTTCTCATCCTCCTGACCTCTCGCTTTCTGTTCGGTGTCTTCAGAGCGTCCGTGAGCAGGATGTGAGAGCTCTGATCCTGGTACCAACCAAAGAGCTGGGTCAGCAGGTCCAGACCATGATCAGGCAGCTAACGGCGTACTGCTCCAGGGACGTCCGAGTGGCCGACATCTCCGGGAAAGCGGACCTGTCGGCGCAGAGGTGGGTCGGGTGATATCGGTGCTTTTATTTAACCACCGGAGCATAATTCAGAATGTTTCCTCCCCTGTGAGTGCAGATGTAATGTTTAGGTGTGTGGTCGATGTTTAAACAGACCCATCTTAATGGAGAAGCCCGACGTGGTCGTGGGGACGCCGTCTCGCGTTCTCGCCCACCTCAGCGCCCAGAACCTGGTCCTGCATTCGTCCCTGGAGACGCTGGTGGTGGACGAGGCCGACCTGCTCTTCTCCTTCGGCTTCGAGGCGGACCTGAAGAACTTGTTGTGGTGAGAACACGCAAACACTTGATGTTAACATGTTTATATGGTGAAGCCATGTTGTTCCTTAACCACAAAAATAAATAAATGTTGTTAATTTACCTCTTCTTTACCACTAATCTAGTTTTTTCCCCAGAATATTTACCCTCCTTTGGCTCCGTAACTTTAAAAACAACCTAGAATAGCGCAGATACGCTGTTGTAACGGCCTGAGTGGATCATTTACCTTCTCAGGTTGTTTGAGGCCTGGTAGAAATATTCCATATGAATTTTTTAAAATCTTTTTTGGCGACCAGGGGACAGAATAACATAAATTCACAGGTTGGATACTTCACAGTATAACGCTACTGTGGCTAACATATTAGTAAACAATTGCCTTTTTAGAAATCCTGCAGAC